TTTTATAATTGTACTCAACAAATTTATACCCTTGTTGTGTACATGGCGCATTTTTTTAGTAAGGGTATTTTTGGCATAGTTTTAAAAAGCGGACCGCCCAACGCCTAAGCGGCCTCCTAGGAGGTTCAAAAGGCCTGGGCGCATCGCCAAGGCCTAGGCGGCCAAACTAGACGGATATCCCTAGGCACCGGCCTAAGCACCCGGGAACCTACCTTGGCGACCGCCTGAACTCGCCTAGGTGGCCGCCCAGAAACTGTGCCCTCCCAAGGGCGGAAATGCGGCTCCGTGAGGGTATTTTTTGGTCATTTTTTTAATACTAAAGGGGTAAAATTATGGGTTTTAGGTTATTTGAAATCTAAAATCCATTAGAAACCATTTTAGAGAAAGAAAACCCCAAAAAAAAATTTCTACTAGGCCGCCCACCCAGGTTCTGGGCCCCCGCCCAGGTTTTGGGCGCCCGCCTAGGCATTGGGTTACCTGGACTCCCCCAACCGCCTAGGTGCCGCCCTAGCGCTTTTTGCAACACTGATTTTTTGTCATTAGGAGGGGTGTGAGATCCTCATGAGGTATGACATCACCCACATGGAGGATACTAATGGCATTTAATGTTACATGTGGATGATATCACACTCTATGTGGATGATGTCACACCCCTCCTAATGACCAAAAATACTCTTATTAAAAAAATGCTCCATGTACAAAACAAAGGTATATAAGTATCCAAAATTTGTTGAGTACAATTATAAAACGCTCTATAGTGTGAGCACCCTAATATAACCTTATGTATATATTGTAAGTGTGTGCGTGTGTGAAAAAATATTATATAAGCCAATAGGCTTATACTATAGCATAAACCACTTCGAAAATTATAGTTTCATTGAATCCCAAATTTTACACATGTATCTCATCTAAGCAATCTGACAAATACGCAATTTTCAGTGAATGCAAGCTATCCATTTGGTAAGCGGGGGATCTAAGACGTCATTAACTAAAAATCAACTTTTCTTTTACCAAAATTGCTTATATTTAAAATGAAAAATGCTGTGCAAAATTATAGTAGAAAAAAACACCTCTAGCTTTGTGTTTTGGAGCTTATCTTATGCAGTAGGCACAAAGCTATTAGCTTAAATAAATAAATATATATATATATATATATACACACTTATACAGGGGTATATATTGTGTGTGAGTTTGTATTGAAAGGTAACAAATTTACTCTTTTTATATAATGAAAAAGATTTTGTAAGCCAATAGGCTTATACTGTAGCATAAGCCACTTTGAAAAGTATAGTTCTATTGGACCCCAAATTTTACACATGTATCTCATCTAAGCACCATCACACAAGATGGGGAAAGGAGTACGCAATTTTCAGCAAACGGAAGCTGTTCATTTGGAAGTCAGTGGATCTAAGCCTTCATAAACTCAAAATCAACTTTTCTTTTAACAAAATTGTTTTTCAAATCAAATATGTTATGCCAAATTTTAGAAAAAAAAACAAAGTCTAGCTTTGATTTTGGAGCTCAGCTTATATTGTAGCCAAGCACCGGTTAGCTTACAAAAGCTACATTTATATGTACATATATTAAATATATATAATGTGTATATATATGTGCATGGGTGTATTGTAAGGTAATAAGATGCATTCCTTTTCTCGCAACAAATCTCAGTGTTTAAAGCTTATGTTTCCCAAATCATATGTTTGTATGATCCAAAACAGTTTTTATCCAAGTTAGGATCACTTACAAGATGGGCAATCACTTCGCAGTCACTGCCTGTTCGGAATTGATGAGACTTGAGTTTTTCTCTCAAAGCCTCATGGTTGTAAATCTCCCCATTAACCTGGAACAACACAAATTACAATATTTCCATAAATCCTAAGATGCTATAATTTTTTTGAGAATTCCAAAAATCCTAAGATGCTATATTGCATGTACAATCTGAAAATCCCAAAAAGAACTAAAAGAACAACAAAACAAAATTCAACTGAAATCAATTTCAAAGAAAAACCACAAAGCACGCTGAACATTGAAGAACGAAAATTCATGATATCGAGATTGAAAACATTTGACAAATAAGTACATGCAGATTCTGATATATCATTATACAAACATAGAATCCCCAAGACCAGTTTTCAAATTCCATGAAATTGCAAGGATCATTACATTGAAATATCAATTAAAGATTTTTTTTATTGTTTTTGACAATGTTTAATTTAAAATATGGCCAAGATTGTGCAGTCTTCAGGTTTAGCTATGGAGGGAGGTGGGGGGAGTTGAAGGGCTTGGGTTGAATACCAAACCCCTAATAGAGATTCTTTATTAAACAATAAAAATTGGCTTCTAGTGTGTTTTGTATGCTTTTTGTGTTGTACATACATGAATCTAAAGATTATTTTCTATGGGTGTTATAGTTTCAAAAAGCACTAGGCAGGTCCTAGGCAGCCTGGGGGGTCCAGGCCGCCTCGTGCCTAGGCGAGCAGCCTAGTTGAATCCAGAAAGAATTCTACAGTTATATATTGTACAAAATATAAGAATTAGGTATTTAGGGCAGAATTCAAAGTATACTACACATTAGCACACTCTCCATAAGCATAACTATAAGTCGGTCCATATCCAATCAAAACTTAAAATTTACCAACCAAATTACCAAACCAAAGTTACCAAATACCAAACCAGTGGAACTACAAACCCACTATCCACAAGACAACAAAAAAAAGTCCCTAAAGGACAATTCACAAGCAAATTCATCTGACTTCTTCTCTTCCTATCACTCCAAGCATCAGTCATAATAGAAACCCTATACTAAAGCCCATGCATCCTTCTTAACTTCTACAACTTCCTTTGTGACACCTACCGCTTTTTTCAAAAGAGGCTCTAAAAACTCCTATGGGGTTGGGGGTTTCATCCCAAACCCAAATTGGCCAATTGCCTCTACCGCGGCATAAAAGCTGCTTAAGCAAGCGGCATTGAAAGGAATGCCCGTCTCATAAAACCATGTAGCAACATAATAAGCAGCTCTATCTCTCTCTTCCTTCTTCATTCTATTTTCAATGGTGGTTTCCTTCTTTGTTTTCTCTCCTACAACCTCAGGGTCAGGCCTCAACAAAAAACTATCCATGGGGCCTCTAACCCGAGGCTTCTTACTCTCAAAACCAGAAGCAATTACAACTCCCTTTCCCTTCCCCCTAATAATGAATTGTTTAACCTCTTGACATCGTCTCCCCAATCCCATCCTCATCACTATCATCATCATCATAATTAACTCGAATCCCACACTTAATCACTACTGTGGAGGCCAATCTCTCATCCTTTTTCATTTTTACCATCCTCAAAAATTGGTTATTTCCTCTTTAACAGCATCAAGAGTTTTTTTACATGGGGTAGCATCCCCCCTGATCCCGACAAGATGTTTCTTGAACCGGTTTATGCCCTCTTTTGTATCCTTCTCACAAAACTTGCATCTTATGCAATTTTTATCATTACGATCTAGGTTGTAGCCATATTTCCAACCGGGATCGCCACTCCTATTAGATCCCGAAAAAAACATCTCAAAATAATACAAAAGCAATTAAAAAAATCACTTACTTTGATTGCTCAATCTCTAAACTTCCACCTTATAGATGCTTCTAAAAAAAAACCCCATAGATTTATAAAACATCAAAAAATAAATCTAATATCAATGTGTGATGTTTTGATCAATTTCTCATAACTTTGAGAACCCTTTGATCCTAAAGGAATCACGAAAAACTAGTTTTTTTGGCGGCTTTTTCTCTCTAAAATGGGCTCTAATGAGTTTTAGGTTTCAAATGAACCTAAAATCCTCATTTTGTCTCCTTAGTATAAAAAAAATGGAAAAAAATAACGCCCAAGAACCTCCCCTTTTTTTGGGCGCCTAGGCCTGGGCAATGCGCCTAGGCCCCCAGATCCGCCTAGGCAGCCGCCCAGGTGCTGGGCGGTCTGCTTTTTAAACACTAATAGGTGTCTGCTTCTTGTCTTTAACTGCAGCCTCAGGATCAAGAAGAAAAATAAGAATCGATAGGCCCCTTTTCTCGAGACCTCTTCTGCTCAAACCCCCTCCGCTTACTAATTTAGTTGAACTCACCTTAGGCTTCCATCTTTAATAATATTAATCATCTTCCTCTCCAAAAACATTAACGGGCCTCACAATATCCTCATATTTCTTCTCTTCTTTCTTTTGTCGGCACGCCTCCAAATTTGCCAACACTTCACTCCCACCATCAGCGTGTACCATCATCTTTAATACCAGCAAAAATGTTTCTCTATTTGACATATGCCAACATTACAAATAATGCCACAAAACTTGCACACTACCCAATTTCTATCATTTGGATCGAGCAAAAAGATGTATTCCTAACCAGGATCACCTTGTTTATTTGAACCGCAAGATGATATTGGAATCTAACCTATAAACGGAGGGAGTAAACAAACCTGAGAAATCCACAAAAACAAAACCCAATCTTGAAAACACAAACTCCATTTTAAATAATATAAATAAACTCAAATCTAAGGGCCTGACTGCATGTCCTCATTATCACTAATAACTCACATTTTCAATAAAATTGATACTGAAAATGAATTATCTGTTTTGCAGTGTCCATCATAAAGATATTTGAGATAAACTTATAGGCAGTGTTGCATATAAATTTAAATTTTTGAAAAGCTGTTTCTAATTTATCGAAAGTAGTATGCTGAAAATCACTTCTTTTTTTTTACCAAATATATCTAAAAATAGCAGATATCGCTGAAAAAATAAATAATTAAATAATATTTTACATAATACAAAATACATAACAAACAGCAAATAAATGCAGAGTATGTTAATTTTTTATAAGATAATCTACGAAAGATAAAATTAATTGCCATTCAAACACACCTTACATATTGAACAAAGTTACTAAACCAAACTCTATTTTGGAAAACATCATCAAGAAACCGAAGTCCATGCTAGAAATAATTTTCATGACCAAGAGGTCCAAATTCAAAATTCGAAAAAATCACAAAACAAAAATCCAAATATTGGAAAAGTCACTAAACCAAAACCATTTTGAAAGAAGTCATTAAAATCCAAACCCATATGAGAAAAAATTTAAAATACCTAAAGGTCCAAAGTCACCATTTGAAACCAGAAAAAATTACAAAAGCTAAACCTAATCTTGGAAAAATGTCAACAAAGCATCCCGAGCCTGAAAAGCATCACCAAAATTGAAAAAACACAAACACAAAAATAACAATCAATCTTGAAAAAGAACAAATCCAAAACCCAATATTGAAAAATATCAACAAAGCCTAAACACAAAATTGAAATAAACTAACCATTCCAGAACTAATCAAAGTTGGCTGGAATCACAAGCTTTGGTTATGAAAACCACATTGACACTTTTTTGAGTCTAACAACAATTGCTTTGTATCCTTTATCTGTTTCAATCCTGCAAGAAATTGAAAGTAATTAAAAACAATAATCTTAGAGGAAAAAAAAAACCATAACATCAGTTTTTTAGAGGGGGTTTTCACTCTCTAAGACGTTAAAAATGGCTCTTGCAGGGTTAGAAGAGCCCCGAAACACTTTACCCTGCTTTTTGAGGGAGAAAATGACAAAAATGCTTGAGTCTGCCCTTGGGCGTGGGCACCTGCCTTGACTACCTAGTTAGGCACCTAAGGGGTCTGCCTTAGGCTTCACATAGCCTGCTATAGAAGCAACTGACAAGGATGTGGGTGGAATTTTTATTTATTTTTTGGGTTCAGCAGAGCAGATGGACTTTTTTATTTGTCATTGTTCACTAGCTTAGAGGAACTAAAAAAGGGAATTTTTTATTTATTGTTTCAGTCATGGGACTATCTACGGTTTAAGAAGGTTCGAATCCTACCCTTGCGCCCTGTGAACTCACACGCCCTTCTCCCCTGACTATCTATGGTTTAAGAGTTCCACAAAAAAGTGCAGTAGGATCCCTTTTTCTTGATGGAGTGGTGTTCTCATTTGTTTTAGCATTTTTTGTTTTCCTTATTTAGAAGGGGGGCAATATGGGATGAAAGAAGGTCCTACAATTAAGGGATTTGTTTAGTTATTCATGTTTACATGTGGATAATGAATGGAGGGTTTTAGATGAGAGAAGTACATAAGGGAGATTGAGGAGTCCTAGATTATAGAAGTCACTTGAATTTTATTTTATTTATTTTTGAGTCCAAAATTATTTGTTTTGAGAATCTTGGTTAAACCAGGAAGCTTAGTAAGCTTGGATTGGAAGCTTCCACCATTATTTCAATCCAATTTTTAGTTCTTTGGTTTCTTTCCGTAAATTATCAACTACATTAGTGGGTATGGGAGCTTGTTTGTTCATGCTACACCTGCTATCAGAAAAGGCCCATTAGCAAAGCACCCAAGGATATATTGCAAGTTTGTGCAATGGCTACTAGAGGAGGTCGAGGAAGTAGGTCTCATGCTGATGGTGTCGAAGTTAGATGGGGGAAGTCAACGATCCAAAGATGATGATTATGGAAATGGCGTATGTGTGTAAAAAAAAATCGAATGCAAGGAGGTTCAAGGATATGATGCACAAGGTACATCCAACCCATTCGGATAAAATTTCAGTCATTCAAGACAATAGCTGATGTCCACTTGTAGTGATGGGTCATGTTCAGCAGATTTTAGTGCACTTCGCAACATTGTGTGAGGATCCACTTGGTCAAGCTTGAGGAGGCCGACCATGGAGAAACTTTATTCTCGTTAAATTGTATCCAAAATCAGCAGGTTTTTTATTGGGACTGACCATCAATCTTCAACACATGCTCAAACAAGGATTCGGATTTTGTGAAATGTATAGGCGATGGTGATGAAGTTGGTGAAACGGTGGACGAGGAGAAGGAGGAGGAGGAGGATGATGATGATTGGGCCAACAACTACAGATCCTAGGATTCAAGATACAATGTTCCGGATGAAGAATTTAGTAGTGGTTTAGTACAGGATTCATCTTAGCGTACTTCAAACCTCGAGCATCAGTTTTCTCTAAGCACGGGAATCCGATAAAGGAGCAGTTGATAGGGATGTGGTTGGAATTATACTTTTCGGGGTTAAGAAGGGTGGATGGAATTTTTATGCTATTATTTATTTTGAAATTACTAACTCATAGAGTCTTATGAACCAAAAATGGATTCTTTTATTTATGGTTTTGCTCATGGGAATTATTTAGGATTCTAGGGTTCCTTTAAAAAAGTGGAGTTGGGGTCCATCCTTTCTCTTGATGGTGTGTTTTTTTCTTTTGTTTTAACATGTTCTGTTTTCCTTGATTAAAAGGGGGCAAACGTGGTATGAAAGAGGATCCTACAATTAAGGGATTTAGTTAATAGTTGTGCTTACATGGGAATCTTGAATAGTGGGTTTGAAATGAGAGTAAGGGAGATAGAGGACTCCTGACTATAAGAAATTATAGAATTAGGTAGAGAAAGTAGGGAAGATAAAGAGGGAAAGGAAATTCATGTGGCAGTCCACAAATTAAGGGATTTGGTAGTGAAGAGAGGAAAAGTGGGTGGCATAGAGTCCTAAACCAATGGGAGTTATGTGAGTTAAGAATGAGTTTATGGAGAGTGAATTAGAAAGGAGAGAGGATACATGAATGGAACAGGGAGAGTTTACTTTTTATTTTCGTATTATTTACGAAGTGTTCTGTAATTAGGGGTTATGCGATTTTTTTAAAATCGAATAATACTCATTTTGAGAGTCTTGGTCAAACCAGAGAGTTAAGAAACTTGGCATGTAAGCTTCCAATATTATTTTCAAACAAACTTTCAGTTCTTTGATTTCTTTCTGTAAATTCTCAACCTCAATGGTTGGTATCAGAGCTTATTTCATTCTCCTACATCATAACCTAGGCAGGGACCTAGGGCCTCAACCCACTACAAAGCGAAAAACCTCAAGTGAACCTCCTTTTAATACATTGCGTAAGAAATGTTATATGAAAACGAAAGGAGAGAAAAATGGATTATACCTCATTCCTCACAACAACCTCCAATGAGGGCATGAGAGCTATATAAAGTCTCCAATACAATGTCCCCACTATACCATAGTGCAACATAAAAAATTATAAAGAGACCCTTGGGAGTGGTGGAATGCAAATCATTATGACATTACACCAATTGATGTTTAGTTGTTTACCAAGTGGTTTTTTCACATGATCCCTTTGCTATTTACGAATGGTATCCCTTTCTATAACATACCAATTGCAAATTCAACACAGAACAAGGATCAAATTCTAATACGCAAATTCCTTTGTCCTCATAACTTTGTTGCACGTATAAAGATGTTCATCAAATACCCTCCACCGTACAGCTGACCACATCAGCATATATACATAAATCCTAAGACTCCCTTGCAGAGCTTTACTGAACGAACAAACTATCTCCAGTTGGGTAAAGTAGGACGCGCTTGGTGCAACTAGTGGATCCTAGACACTGAAGGAACCTACAACCTCACCTAACAAAACCTTACCCCCTCCCTCCTAACCATTCTCCACAGGCCACTGACACATCCAGCACACAATCTACTATATCCAAGCAAAGAAGAACTCAAAAAGAGAACACAAATTTTGCAGTAGGAATGCAAACCACAATTTCATAGATTCCTTTCCATTGTATTATGCATCATCTCTCTCAACAATTATTGAGAGTACTCTTCAATAAATACAGCAGGCATTTTAGCCCATTCTGTACATATAGCAAGTTGCAAGTACACATATAAAACAGTCAACAATTTCAAGGAAAAACAGCATCAACTCATAATAGAAATTTCTACTATATGCAGAGAGCCTCCTGCATTGAGTAATTCAATAATGCTGAGTAAAACATTGCATCAAACGTTAGAGTGCTGAGTGCTTATTTAACGCACGCACATTGACATAAAATTCCTGAGCTCTTGATCCTGGTCAAATAATGGAATTTCAAGAGAAGACAACCTTACCGTAACAGCAATTGTTTTATCTTCATTGTACAAGGGTTGATCACCAGATGTAGGATCTACAATAGCTAATCGTTGATGAGCAAGATAAAAGTTCTCATAACAATGCAATCCACTCCAATCAGGACCCCGATGTCGCAACCTATGTTGCAGGAGAAAACAAATCAGAGAACAAAACATGATAAGCTTGAATACTGAATACTGAATACTAGTTTAATTGTATCTTTAGATATAGAATAAATAAACAAGATAGTATGCTGGAGACAAGATGTCCAATACTCTGGTAAAGAATGAAATTACACATGGAAGTAACTGATAATGGCATCCAAACTCAAGGAAAACCTCCCACAACCACAAACAAACTCACATGAACAAGTTGAAATCTTTCTGAAAGTAAAATGTGAACAAGATCAGATTGTTGCATGGAATGATGAATGTCAATACTCAGAAAAGCAAAGCTAATCACAAAAACTTCTAGAACCAGGAAAAGGCAAGGCAAAAGGCATAAGGTTTTCTACTTAAATGCAGAAATATAAATTGAGAAAAGAAACCTAAAAAATAAAATAAAAGAAAAACAGAATAAAGCATATACACTAATTGCCAAACTGAGTCATAATTCACATCATAATCTACAGAACATTAAAATTTGATGTTTAGTATTATCACATAAAATAACTAAATTGAAGTCAAAACTACATCCATTCAATCATACAGTTATTAAATGCATCACAATCTAAGGGGAAAAGACCAACCCCCTTCCCCCGCTACCAACCAACCCCACCACCACCACAACCTTCCCAAAAACGAAGGGGGGGGGGAAGGAGCTGGCAGCTCCAAAAAAAAAGGAGCCGGCGGCTCTGTGCTTAAGGAGCGATATGATGAATGTCAATACTCAAAAAAACACCCTTCCCTCCAAGTGCTACATTATTTTACCATATAGTGATCTATGACAAATTTAGCCTTTTCTGTCTCTTATTATTGACCAAGATTCACAGTTTTCTCTCTCAAACAAGCATTCACTCTCTAAATATTAAGCTTATCTCTCCTCTCCTTTTCTCTCTCTCTATCAATCATTGAAGACTCAATTGCTATCAATTAATAATACTCCTCGCAAATGTACTCATAATACTCCTCGCAAATGTACTCTAGAGCAAGAAATCCATTCCCATAGGCTCAAGAAACAAATTTTATCCAGAAAATGCAGTTGGAGAAAGGAAGAGAGGTACTAGTTTTAGTCAGAAATTGTAGATAGAGAATGTTAGGTCTATCAAGAAAGGAAGAGAGCTCTCAAGAAACAGATTCTAGCCAGAAAAATTGTAGATTCTCTCTGGATTAGATCCTTTCAAGTTCTCTATAACGAAATTAAGGAATGAGTTAATCTTGCCAGTCAAAAGCTCAGGTCTTTGACTGATCACAAGGAGGAAAGCACCCCTGTGACTTTGATGCACTGTGGAGACTGTAATTTTGACCTAATTGAAGCAATGGAGGCTGACCTTGAAGTGCTTAAGTTCAGATTCCATAACAATGGAAACCAATGTTGATCAGAAGAGGATAGAGGAGTTGAGCTTCAAGTGCTTGGAAAACCCACTACAAATTTTCTCCTCACTTGATTCTACTAATGATTTAGAAAAGTGATTTGAAGTAGAGAGATGAACCATGATTCATAAAACCTGGAAAAAGTTAACTTTTCTTTTGAAGCAGAAAGATAAACCTGGTATAATCCGTGGAAATTACCCCAAAAAATGAAATAGGGAATTTTTTTTTATTTACTTTGAAATAGAGAGATGAGCTAAAAGATTGGGTTGTAATTCCAATAAAGACTGGGACGAAAAAGCGCAAAGCCTAATCGATATTCTCTACTTCGAAAAACCTTTGAAACTAGAGAAAGACTGAGACTTGGCCCCATTTTTGAGGTTCTTCAAGCCCAGAGACTCTTCAAAGGAAGGTTAGGAAATGGATAACTCATAGAAACTATCTTAGAGACCATCGTTGAAAAGAACTCCAAAATACCATGAAAACCCACAAAATCAACAGAAAACTCCACCCTCTCGCTGGACAACTATAACATCCAACTTTCTTAGAGAGAGAGGCCGGAAAAGTAGCTGGAAATAGGAGAGAAGGTTGCCAAGACTTTGGGGACAGGGAAAAATCATCATTGTAATGGATTTTGCCTTTATTCGCATGGAAGAGGAATCTTCACAAAAAAGAAGAGCATAGTGGGAAACGGTGTCCAAGTGATAGTGAAGGGGGTAATTGGTTGGGCCCCTTAAGTATGGACTAGGGGGTTCGCTGGTCATTTTCCCTAATCTAAATTGCAAAATACCAAATTACCAATAATTTGAACCATAGCTACTCAGTTCAATAATTGGACTCAACATATCCAACCACCAACAAACAATACGTTTGGACATGGGAAGTTTTTCATTAAATGAAAACAAAGGTACAGGGAGAGATCTGTGATCCACCACCAGGATACATACTTCTACTTGTAAACCAAAATGGCTTTTAACTTTACCAACGGGTGTGACAAAATAACACTAGGAGAACAAAGGCAGAACATAAGTTCAATTTCAAGGTAGTGTCATATGAAATGCTGATTAAATCACCACTGATAAGTGCAACACTATCTGTTTAGTCTTTTGCATTCACAGCTGAAAACTTAAAATGCTTCTCCCAAGTTATCAAGGCTGAGGAAAACCCAAAAAGAAATTGAAATACAAACTATGGGATTCTTAGAATAGTTTGTGGCCCTTATGTAACAGTTAGTGAAGAACAGACTCCAAAATGGTGCCATTCATTTAAAAGTCAGTTTCAAAGCCCTATTGGCAAAAACATGTGGTCCACAACCTGAAACCATAACTAATAGGCATAAAAAGGATTCCTAAAAGGAGCCTGTAAGAAAGGAAGTGGAGATTCGCCTCGTAGAATGGTATGATCCTCTCCTTGGGAAGAAGAGTGACACTTAAAGCCAAAGAGTTATTAAATGCACCCTAGCCCACCTGAACATATATTTTATGTCCCTATACCAAATGACAGCCGCTATAGTAAACAGGTTGGAAACGTTACAGAGAGACTTCATGCGGAATAGAAGGGGTATAAAAGGTTCGGGGATGACACTGAGGGCTTATGGGAAGAAGTATGTGTGCTTGATGAAAGGCAAAATTCTTCTTATTTTTTATTTTTATTCCATTTCAAGGATGTATATTGTAGTTTTAGTTTTTTTGTGTTTTAGGGTTTTTACTTTTTATTTACCATTCACAAGCACTATTCATGGTATTGTTCCCAGTTACTGTTTACGCATTACTAATCACAGTTACTATTCACATCACAGAGGAATCTTTAGAATTAGAGTATTGTTTTAGGGGTATTTTGGAGTCTTAAATGTTTACTTGGATCTCAAGTTAAAATAGGGTTTCATAGTGGCTTGATTTATAGCCATGTTCTTTCTCTATTATTAATACTTTTATTTGTTTAAGGTTCAGAAAATGGTGGATTTAATTTCCCACCTTTGCCTCCTGCATAAAATGGTATCAGAGCATGGTTCGAGGACTGCCAGTGATTGTGATGGCTTATCATGGAGGTCTTAGCTGTAGGAATGCCGATCTAATCCACCTGCACAAGGAAATCAACAACTTGCCAGAAAGGGTTACAGAGCTATTACTGCGCAAGCGGGGCCAGCAACAGCATGCCCTAAACGAAGAGAAATCTACTTGGGTAGATCCAAATCGTGAGGGCTTTTATGGAGAATGGTGCGAATCAAAGTCCGACTCAAAGTTGGAATGGAATGATGAAGTGCCTTCAACCACCCATTCTATGCACGCGCTCCGCATTAGGAGCCTCATGTTTGGGAGAATAAATTATGAGATTTAGTTGATCTACATGATTTGAAGGAAAATGAGGTTAATTTTGGCATAGGTCATATCGAAAATCAGCAGGTTGTAAATGGGAATTTGTCATCCATTTTTTTTACATACTTAGAAGATGAACAAGATCTGTAAAAGAACCAATCTATGATGATGATCAAGATAAAGTGGGTTAACCAATCTATGACGAAGAAAAGGATAAAGATCTTAAGGACACCAAAGACGTGGGACATTTAGGAGATTTACGGCATTTGAATCATAGCAGTGCAGTGGAGTGCGGTCGACTCAGAATCTGCAAATTATGGCCCTAGTTCCAGAGAGTAATGAAATTGACATCAAGAAAGCCTTTAGAGGACAAAAAATTGAGTATGAAGTTTCCCACCCAATTTTCAAATGCAGTTCAAGGATATCCATACTTGATAAATTTGCATTGATTCCTCAATATGCATATCAAGATCCATTTCTTGAGGAATTATTTTTACATTGAATAATATTTGAGCCAACAAGAAAAGAGAAGGTTGAAGAAGGTCGTTTTGATGTTGAGTACATCTTAACACACTTCAAAACTCGAGGACTAGTTTTCTCTAACCAAGAGAGAATAATGGAGGGCAAAATTCTTCTTATTTTTATTTTTATTCAATTTTAAGGATGTATATCATAATTTTAGTTTTAGGGTTTATTTCTAGGGTTTTTTTAATTTTTTAGAGATTTTAGGGTTTTTATGTTTATTCACCATTCAAAGTACTATTCATGGTATTGTTCATAGTTATTGTTCACGCATTATTGTTCACAGTTACTATTCTCGTGTTACTGTTCACAATGGTATTTTTGGAATTGGAGTATTGTTTTAGGGGTATTTTAGAGTCTTAAATGTTAATTTTGATCTCAAGTTAAATTAGGGTTTCAGCTTATACAAAGTTGGATGTCATATTTTGGGAGATATATGTCATTGAAATAAATTTTATTTTATGAAAGAAAAAAATTCTTCTCTTGGCTTGACTTACAGCCATGTTCTTTCTCTCTTA